AAGTAGTCTTTAATTTTCAGCTGTTCTAATGATCTGGTTTGGGGTTGTTCAGCCTGGAGAAAAGAAGGCTGTGGGGAGACCTTATGGCAGCCTTTCAGTACTTGAAGGCAGCTTATAAGGAAGATGGGGACAAACTTTTTAGCAGGGCCTGTTGCAATAGGACAAGGGGTAATGGTTTTAAACTGAAAGAGGGTAGATTTAGACTGAATATAAGGAAGAAACTTTTTACAGTGACACAGGTGAAAAACTGGAACAGCTTGCTCCGCGAAGCTGTGGATGCCCCATCCCTGGAAATATTCAGGGTCAGGTTGGACGGGGCTCTGAGCAACCTGATCCAGTTGAAGGTGTCCCTGCTCACTGGCCCCACTGCACGGGAGTTGGACTAGATGCCCTCTAAAGGTCCCTTCCAGCCCAAACCATTCTATGATTCTGTGATCTCTTATTTGAAAGAAATGCTTAGGGAGAGAATGAAATTGAAAAGACACGCTCGGACTGAGCCATAATCTACTACTTATAAATGACGTTTAAGAGAATGCGGGTAGAAAAAAGGCGACATTTATCTGTCAATCATTTTGAATCTAGTGAGGGTGATATTACTGAGCAATAATAAACTGAAAAACTTCAAAAGAAATGAATACCTGAAAAAGAAGGCTTAAAAAAATAATAACATGAAGGACTCCCCCCCCCCATAAATTCAGTTTTGTATTTGCTGTGAAATTTTATGTTGAAATTGAAATAATAAAAGCAGTTCTTTATGAAATTTTTACTGCTGGCTGCTGCTTTGAGAATCACAAGTGCTGGCCCTTTTGTGACCACAAACCAAACAAAAGCCTCACCTTTTTGTTTACCACTCAGGGAGAATAACAGAAAGAAACATTAAGGCTCAAAAACCTCTCGCTAGGTTACCTTATGACTTGTGCCCTTTTTGTTTTTTTCCCTTCAGGTAAAATGTCTATTGATATTTTATTTATCCTTCTCTTCTCCTCTGTACAGCTTCTGATGTGTAATGTTTTCCAGTTAACCAGAATATAGACGTCATGTCCTCTGCCATACGCACCTTGAAATTGGTAGAAATAAAGCCATTTACTTAGTGGATATAAAAATAGCTCTTCTTCAGATATAATACTTCCCTCAAGTTCTAATGGTCAAATACTTGTTCTGATACTTGTTTTGTCATATTAAGCACATCATTTGCATTGCTGAAACATCTATGTAAATTCTAAGATTTAAGATGATTCTGACACAATATTTAAGATTATATGCTTTGCACTTGCTCTGTTGCTTTGACTAAAAATTGCTGTCTGTATGAATGACACATTATAAATTTTTTTTTTATTTCTATTGAAGTTGTAGTCACGTCAGGCCATTATTTGAAAGCCTCAGTCATGGCTTAAGAATGGAGTGGAAGACTTTAACTAGCAAAACCTATACATTCTTTCTTAATTATTTTATTGTATTTACATCATAGGATTTAAACACCTTAAGCTACAGCTGTTTTAGTTTCAACATTTGTTTTGCGCTGTTACTTTCTGAGAGACTTTTCAAACAAGCTCCTTAGAAGTTGATTCAAACTTGGTATAAATATGCCAGATTTTACTTGGTGTACTTTTATTTGCTTAAAGGTGGATCCAGATCAGTCTTTCTATAAGATGAATTTCTCATTTCATGAAGTACAGTAACTGTAGTGTCATACAGCATGGTGATAAAAAACATTAGAAGAGTATAAAAAGCACATCTTTGCTGCAAATGTGTCTATTTTCAAAGTATGCGTACAGCTTTTTGGCGAAAGGTGCAGTAGCTATTGAGACAATTTTTCTGGCAACTTCTAGAGAAAGAACTTTCTTCCACAGCTGACAGTCATTTTGCTTGTGAAACACCAAAACTGTGTAGAGGTATGGATTAATTCTAGTTCATTGTTCTGAAAAAAAAATAAATATATATATATATATAAAATTGGATGATAAAAGTCCTGTGAGCCAAACCAATAGGTGATGATGGATGATGTGGGAAATATTGCCACTCCTGAACTGTCTGTCTGCCACCGATAGAACTGGCATCATGGGTTTTCACAGCACAGTGGTTTCGTGCTCCCCAGTATAAGACTTTAACTTCTGCTGTATGGATTTTGTCTTAGAACATGATTTATGATTCCCACAATGAAGAATGTTTCTGTTGGGCTGGCAGCTCTCTCTTGTACTGGTTGTACCTACACCTCTCTATTTGTACTGCAGATCCCCTGAACAGCAGACATTAAATAACAACGTATACTTTCACTGTTGGCAGCGGTAAACAAATCGGCACGATTATTGCCAGTTTCCTATATCAAAGTTAGCAAACAAAAAGAAGAAAATATGCAACTTCAAACAGCTTAATAAAGTGGAGAAAAAGAAAATTAAATGCAAGAGCTGGGCAGGAAAGCAGATAAAACCATACACATTGTCAGGGAGCAGGGTCTTTGCCAGTCTGCATCAAGATGAAAGAAAACCAGCGATCATTCATGTGTGTATGAAAATAAAGCAGCATTTCCCACTCATCCACCTATAGCAGTGAACCATATATTTTTTAAAAGTTAGTCTCTGTTCAGAGCCTTAAACTAACCTTCTCCCGTAGCCAAAAGCTTCCCTCGCAAACCCATGACTGTCAGCCAAAACAAGTTCCAGTGAAGCCCCCGAGCATGCAACTTCTGAGGTGAATATACTTACCGAATTCCGTGGGCTGCGTACATGTTTAAATGCGTACTTCAATATTTTGATAAATTGAGGTGTGGATCATTCAAACAGTTATAGAATTTGCTGGAACAGAAACTATGTGCTCAGGGGAAAAAAGTTAAATATATGTAGAAAACATTTTGAATAAATGCATTTTAAGCCCTAGTAAACACAACGTTAAACAAACAGTAATAGTTTCAGGGATTGCGGCAATAATTTTCAAAAGGATTTAGCTTTAATTGGGGCAGCTGTTGGATATGGGATTGGGAATACGATGGGCAATTTCAGGAATCTGACTCCAGTTGAATGAGTGGGCCGCTTCTGAGATTTCAGAAATCAAATTAAAACCCCAGACCTTTTGGTAGATTGGAAGTGAAACGCCTGAGATGCTTTAAAGCAGGCACAAGCTGAGGGAGAGATGAGGAAAATGTCAGTTCTGCACTGTGCAAATCCGTGTCATAAAGACATGATTGCAGCCTGACCCAAAACACAAAACAGAAAAGAATCACAGTCCAGACACTGTTCAGAAAAGGCTCAACACAGTAACTGCTTCATCTAAATTAGCTGCTATATTAGTAAAGAAAAGTGCAACTAATAGTAGGTGGTTTTAAAAGAGTTCATTCATATTTAGAAAAAAGATCATTGTTGTTATGGGGGACATTTAAAGTATGTAACTTCTTCTTAGGAAATCACAGAGATTTTTGTTCCTCACTAAATATTTAATCAGAACAGATAAAAAAAACTCTGCAAAATCTCCTTTAAGCCACTAGAGGATGAGTACTTCTCCATCAAAATAAATAGTTAAGCCGTAGTATAGCTTATCTAAGCCACACTAATAAGCTATTAGACTGGTAATAATTCAAATTCTAGCAAGTGTAAATGAGGCAGACAGCTTGAATCCTTATTGAATAGCAAGATTAGTTATTTGTTTATGGAAAGCTGACTAAAATTACTTAAACTATGCATATTGGAACATTAAAATACATGAAAAGATACAGCATTTTGGAAAATAACTAGCTAATTAGGTAAGCATAATATTTTTTGTTGTTCAGTTAAATATTTCCTTATGAAAATGGCAATTGTAATGCAAACATTGCTTATATATTCTGTAAAATGCTCAGGAAACTCATGTGGTATAGTTATGTCCAATCTGACTCGGAACACGGTGTTATGTCCTGCTCTGTGCGTTGTGTTGGTTGTCTAGCTTATTTTTGAAGTTCTCTTCTGCAAATACCATGCTACTACATCAACAGACTTCATTATCCGATCTAGCCGTCAGTCTTGAAACCATCTTTTCCAATACATATCTCTATTGTCTTACTACTAAAAAGCCTCAGACATAGACCAGAATTCCACCAGAATTACTGGACTCCTTGGGGATACCAAGAACAATTAGAAAACAGGGGCACTACATAACGAGTCTGTTCAGGCATCCGGTTTGTTATGAAGGTCGGTCAGCTGGTCAGCACAGTTAGCATCAGCCAGGAGAAGAGCTTGAGCAGAAAGAAAGATGGGTCGGGTTAGAGGGTAGAACGTCTCTTCAGATTGTCTGGTTCTGGTGACTGGTTCCATAAGGTGTTTAGAGAACTAGCGGAAGCTAGTTATTAACAACTGTCTTTGACAACCTGCTTGGCAGGGTGACGTCCTAGAAGATTGGGAAAGGATAAACGTTTTATTGAGAAGGAGGACAGAGAGAATTACAGCCCAGCCGCTTCACATCAAACGCCACAGCAGCCTGGGATATATACACAAGTTATTTCAGAGCACTTGGAAGATAACAAGTAGACAAGTAGCAGCCTCTGTGGACTTACCAAGAGCAAATCATGTCAAACCAAGTTATTTTCCTGTAGAACAAGGCAACAGATCTTGTGAATGGAATGGAACGAACAGTTATTATAACCTGACATGCGCACGGCCTTTGGCATTGCTTTCCATGACGTTCTTCTGAACAAGCTTAGCAAATTAGTAGGAACATGTTTCGTACGGTTGCAAAATTGGTTGGAAAAAAACCACATGCTTAAAGAACAGTAAGTAGTATTTCAGTTTCAAATTGTAAGAATGTCTCTGCGTTCCTGGATTTACCCTGAGATACACATTTGATAATGATCAGTAAAGAAAAGAAGATGAACTGGTGTGGTAAGTACAGCAGGCTTTTTTTGTCTCAGCATGTGAGGGACTCTGGTGAACAAATATTGGTAGAAAAAGTAACCTTAAGGAAAACACAGCCGTAAAATAAACAAACAACTTAATTCAAATATATATCACTAAGATTGGTTTTTATTTGTATTACAGTGGTGCCTATAGACTGCAGTAAGCAGCAGCATCGGGGGCTGGGGGCAGTAAATGGGATCGGTCTGGAGGAAGGGGTCGTGCCACCGTGTGGGGAGCGCGGGGTGGAACGGGGGGCAGAGGCCATCGGCCGCAGCCTGGGTGAGAGGGCAGGGCCACCCTCGAGCTGCTAGAAACCCCGGTCAAGTTTCAGCTGAAATCGCATCACCAGTTATTTCTGCCCGTGATACAGGCTTCAGCTGTTCGTGAAGCGCAAAGGTTTATGAAAATTGTAGTGTGTTGCTGCCAGCAATCCTCCTGCACGCTGTGACAGAGATGGGAGAAGTCATTAGTTACGGGAGATTTAAATACTTCATTTCTGCAGAAGCAAACGAATAGAAGGCCAGAGAACGCGGATTCTCTCTCTGCTGACCCTTAACTGATTTAAAGGCCCAGTATCTTCGTTCTAATCCGAGGCAGTAAAAAAAAATCTCTCAAGGACGAGCAAAATACAAACCGATTTTTAAAAAATCAGCTGTAGATAACCTCAGTTGTGAAAACACCTTGCTTTTCTGCAATGCGAGAAATGGCAGGATTCATTTTTATGCTTTTCCTCTGCCTCTGCTTTGGTCTTGATAGAGCTTGAGAGTAATTCTCGGCCGGTAGCACTGCTGAAGCCGTACGTAAGAAGGGAACGGTGGGGCCTGCTCCCGGCCGAGGGGTTTCTCCCTCGGGTCGTTCGTCCTGCAGCTCTCGCTACGGCCGGGCGCGAACCGGCGGCTCCGGCACGTCGGCTCTACGAACGCGTTGCTCCCGTTCTAAACCAGTAAGCCCATAATATATGTGATTTCTAGTTTAAAAAAAAGTCATAAATTCTTCCAAGCCCCATAGCAAAAAGTATTGCGTAGGCTGATGCTCCTAAATGTGGAAAGTAAAGGCAGAGTGAAAATTAGAACAGCTCCCAATAGTTTGCTCATGCTTTTACCAACTCTTTTTTTAAACATCTTTAAATTCTAAGTGTGAACTTATTTTATTTAACAACGCGTGACAGAAGGCATAGGCTTTTCTTTCCATTTTCTAGCAACCCACACTTTTCATATGCTAGTGGATATTAGTAAGATGTGGTTTCCTCTGTAGGAGAATAATTCTCAGCAGTGTTTGAGGGAAGGTAGGAAGAAATGATCTGGATCTATGTATTCCATTTTAGTTGAAGTACTGACTATTTAGTTTCCCTTCTGGCATTTGACTACAAGGAGTGTCGTGTTTTCAATTCATGAAACCATCTTTGATTTATTCCATAATGATCCATAGTGGATGCAGTGCTTTGCAGTTGAAGTTACACGGTATGGTCATTCATCAACATGTTAACCTTTTAGTTTGTCTCAGGAGCTCAGTTTTCGAGTCCAGTCAGCGCACTGGGAGTTGAGGCTAATCGTGCCCACACTGGTGTCTGATGTGGAGCAGTCCCAAGAGCACAAACAGGGTTCGTTTCAGCTAACACCAAGCCAGAAGATTCATATCCAGAGTACATTTACAGCACTTCATCTCCCAGTCCCCTCTCCATCATGGGCATATATTGGAGCTGATCTGAAATAAAAATCCTGAAATGTGCATTGTGCAAATGTGGAGTGCTTAATACCAGCTGTGTTGCTCTACACGTCTGCTTCTAGCGGGCAGCCTGTCATGATAACCTAGGTGTAGCCAGGAGGCCTTCAGAGTGGCCTAAAAAGAGTAAGAGGAGTGGTATAGATTGGGATTTCTTATCTAGCTTGGATGAACTCTGGAAAAGTTTTTGTTTTTAGACTTAATGGAGATTTTTTTCAAGTTGTATCAGTGCCTCACTTGGAATACTCCTTTGATTTTGAGTAACAATATTTAAATTAAACAACACTTTTATTTTATTTGAAATCACTAGATTGTGAGGTTTCTGGAGCTCCTCAGTGAATTCTGGCAGTTGCCAGCTGGCTGCTTTTCTGTGATGGTAGATTTAATCTGTTTTACTTCTAAGTTGTTTTTTTTTTGGTTTTTTTTTTTTGCCTCTAGCGTCAAGGGGGAAAATCTTTGTTATCGTGTTCAGGAATTCACGAAACCTGCGGGTTCCGTACCTGCAGAGCAGGCGAAGCGGGCGCAGGGACAGAGGTCTGTTCCCCACGGGGGCCGTGGGTGACTCTGACAGCGGCGTGCAAAAGGCGGGGTGGGCCGGCTACCATTTTTTTATCAACGTTCTCTGCCTAAGTGGGTTTGACGTAGAAGCAGATGAATTCAAGTAAATTCAGTCTGCTTTTTAGGTTTTCTTTTACTATTCTTTGGTCGCGTAGTGTCTGAACTATACTGCTGAATAGATCAAAGGGATAATAGGTTTACTGAAGACTTAGTGTGTAGGTGAGTATAAAAGTCATAAAGTAGGAGTACTATGCACTGAGTTGTGTGCTTACCTTCAAATGTCTCAGCTGATTCAGTGTAACAATGAAAGTGAAAATATTTCTACTAATGAGATTCTGTGAAATCAGAGAGATGAAAGTGGATGAAATAGATTTCTCTCTGGCTCATTTTAGTTCTTGTCCTCTTCAGAGTTTACTATGTTTCTGTCACTACAAAGAGGGAAAGAGAGCGCTGTGTGTTTGCTTCCCTTGTTGCTGTTGGGCGTCTCAGATCCATGACTGAAAGATTAATGACCCTTTTAAAGACTTAGTAAAACCTAACGCTCGCTGGCATCGTACCTCCTGTGAAGTGTGGTGCCTGGGGAACTGGATTTAATTGTTTTTCTAATAAAAGAGATAAGTAATATTTTCACAGCAGTTATACTTTTTATTATCTAATAAGAGGAGGCCTACAGTGTCATAGGTTTTGTTTCTTTTTTATAGAATATGGAGTAATCACTCGTGCAAGGAAAACTGAGAAACGAATGCCGCTTCTAGCTATCATGTTAGCAGCTGAAGTATGGATGCCAGTTAGCTATGAAAAGTTAATATGGTTTTGAAATGTAACTTTAATTAACTAGAGAGCGGGCAGGTTTTTTAAAGGGGTAATAGAAGTACAATAGATCCCTAGTTGAAGTTTTGCTCATTTTATCAGAATAGGAAATAAATAAATATTGTACAAATGCATTAATTCTTGTGTTGCTGTGTTGTTCAGATGCTGAACAGATTAAATTTCTACAAAGAAAGGTAAAAACAGTCATGTTTTCCAATTCAATGATAATAAATAACTGTAAGGATTTAAAAATAAGGATTTTTTTCTCATATCCCGTGAGGATTATGAGAAAACTATGGACTAAATCGTAGGATCATAGGGGTATGTCTAGACAGGAGGGGTTCAACTTACTGAGGTTGTTATTGAACAGTTGGACTTGCAGAGGGGACTACCAAGAGGGCAAAAAAGAACAGGCATTATTATACCAAAATACCCAGATCGTGGAAGGTAAGTTTGCATTTTTGGAATTTGTGATGGAGCAGGAGTTCTTTGGGATCCCCAATTCCCTAAAAATAGAGAATTACTTTCATGTAATCATTGCTTCTTGTAGTGAAGGCAACATTTTGCCGATTTTGCCTAGATGTCTTGACATGTTGAATGAAGAAAAAAATCTTCTAAATGTGCCTACAAATCCAGTGGGCAAGGTGAAGTTCATCATGTAGGAGGATTGCTAACAGCCAAAGTTGGAGAATGCCCGCAAATTTTGTTACTGAGGTTTTTACTGTAACTGATTTTGATGCACTTGACGGTGGTGGTGCTGGCATGGGAAAAGAGGCAAAGAATAAAAATGACTTCACGTACACATGAGGTACTTGTAAACGTCCAGGGCTTTCTTATCACCAGGAGAAGTATTTAACTTGGACTTGAGCCAGTTCCATGATCTTATAATTGCATTAGTAGCTCATTATTTATTTAACAACAGAAATTACAGGTCCTCTTAGTATATCCATCCCATGAATTATGCATGTGCATGTATCTCACATTACTTAGAATTTGTTTTGCAAATGTCAGGTTTGTTTTGTTATGGATTGTTTGGTTTTGTGTTGTTGGACGTTGCTGTAATTTAACTCCATGGTTGTGAATGTTTTCCCACTTCTCTTTACAGTATTTCTAGTCTGTGTAAAGAAGAAATAGAATTAACGTGTTGAAGTATCTTAAACTTTAGTCTGAGCAAAAAAACAATGTGTATTCCCAAGGAAATCGTACAAAAGTCATAGTGAAATCAACTGCCTTTCTGCAAGAATTTGAAATTGCATGATTCTCAGCTTTACACTGAGAGAACATGATGAAATGAATTAAAGTTCTCTAAACTTTATATTCCCTCAATTTTTACTTATATTTTACTTTGAAAGGTGAACTTCAAACGTTATTTCTAACAGGTAGTCTAAAGACTGCTCTGTTATTTCTAAAGACATGTATGATCCAATACAATTGTTTTTCTTGAGCAGGAAAGTTTTATGTGAAAATTGATTTGTGTTAGTGCCTCATGAAATAATTTTAGAGATAGAAGGTACTAAATAGGAAATGAAAAGTTTCATAATGGACTTGGCGATTTGTTTAAAAATACAGAATCTGAACTTGGTTAATTGCATTAAATTACGTGATGCTTATTTGGTTCCATGCGAGTGCTAATTTCATTAAAAGACAGTCATGTGAGAAAACATTCATATATTAATGTATTTGAAAATACTATCATACATGCTTCATTTGTATTAGTTGCTTCTCTTGGTTTTGTTTGTGTTTTGGTTGTCATTTTTTTCTTCTTTCCGTTGGTTGGTTGATAATTTTCCCACATTCTTTTACTTTAGTGTTCTTTAATGTACTTTTAGCTATTTTATAGATTGTGTCAGTAATCAAAACTAGAAAACAAGTGGTGTCCAAGCATACTGAACCAGCATTCTGACTTTGCTGTGCTTCTCTTCTAAAAAGTTTGGTTAGTGATGACTGGATGTTCCACTTCCTTCTGAGAGTGATGTGCTAGCCACTGATGTAATAGCATTTTTTAGTTAGTATTGAAATTATTATTTTTGTAGCAAAACAATCACTTTGGTCTTGAGGAGGATTTGTTGTGTTGACTCTAATGGCTATCTTTCCACACCTATAGCAGAAAACATTTTTAAAATGTCATTGTGGACAGCTTATTTAAAATGTAGTTTTAGAAAGGTGTAATCTGAGTTTTAAAGTCAAGGAAGGAGCTGATATTATAAAAATGAATGCAGATAGATAGTAGATTATCTTTTAAATTTTGTTCTTAGAATGATTCCCCTCCCTCCACTGAATTTCTGCCTGATTATGTTTTCCTTCATTCTCTCCTTTATTGTATCTTGGAATGCCCGGTGAATTTACTCTTGTCTTTGATCACGGTGTTGGAACATTTGTAGACTGTAATGCAGTGATTCAGTTTTTCATTCTGTGCCCCCTGCTTCTATTTTTTATCCTGTGTTGTGTTTTTGTTTCTATTTCTTTGAATTTATTTCTGTTCGCAATAGATTTCTGATAACGTGCTGTTTAATACTGAATGCAGAAATCCAGGGTTAGCAAACTGCTCTACAAAGAAGGATTATTGTTTCTTGACTCAATGGTCTAATACTTCAGAATAAGTGGTAGAAAGTTTCATTGGTCAGGTTATTTCAGGTTGCACCGGACAGCGCTGTAGAAAAGGACATCCTTTAATCTAACTGCTAAATCACCTTCATGTGAGTATCCTGATTAATTCTTCACGAGATCCTGTTTTCTATTAAGTGCTGACATCCCTTCTGAAAGGTCTCTCAATAATCCTTGAATTCACAATGAGTTCTCTAGCATATTTGAAGCTATTTTTTTTCCATTCAGTACTCATTAATGAAGGGCATATGCTTAGATTATTTGGTTATTGTGATGCAAGTGTTTTGTTACATGACCGTTCTGTTTGCTCTTTTATCTTTAATAAGAGTAAATTGTGCAGTCAGCAGATGCCCTGGAGTTTTCTTGTTTTATTTGGGTTTTGTTTAGCTTGAGTTCAAAAACTCTGCTAACTCTTGCAGTGCTTTAGAGTTGCAGAATTTAAATATTTACATTGATGCATATACTGTGTGTGAGAAGAGGCTGTGAGAGCTCGGTTTGTTTTTCTTGGAGAAGAGGAGGCTAAGGGGGAACTAAGTGCCATCCTCCCATTTTTATGGCACTTCAGGACATGGTTTAGGAGGCATGTTAGTGATGGGTTGATGGTTGGACTTGGTGATCTTAGAAGTCTTTTCCAACCTTAATGATTCTATGATCCTCAGCTACCTAATGGGTGGTCATAGAGAAGATGGAACAAGACTTTTCTCAGATGTGGTCAGTGAAAGGATGAGAGGTGACACGTGTTCTAGTAGGGGAACTTCCAGTTAAATCTAAGGAAAAAATTCCTCACAATGATGGTGGTCAAACACTGGAACGGCCACTTAGAACAGTTGTGGGATCTCCATCCTTGGAGAGTTGGGGCTTGAGGGGGCATGACCTCAAGCACCTTGGTGTAGCATTAGCCTTGGCCTGAGCAGGGGTTGGACGAGAGAACTCCCTCAGGTCCCTTCTGTTCTGTGATGCTGTATTTATTTTTTCCCCCCTAGATTTTGCATTTGCCTATTACTCTTGTCCTGTTCCTGCCTCCCCTTTGCTGGACATTCTGCTAAATTATTTCCATGTTTTTATACATACAGGTTTTACATCAAGTCTAGACCCTACCTGGAAGCTGACAGACTTGTGTGCAGTGCAAGCAGGAGTTCTAAGATGGCAATATTACTATTAGGAAAGATATCTGAAAAATCTTTAGTATTGGTATCAAGCTACTTTGTTTACAGCTCCTTTAGTCACAAATTAGTATACTCACATTTCATGGTAATTGTTGAGTTTTTTCTTCAAGCAGTAATTGTATGCCCCACGGGACTGATGGATATTAGTAGTTTTCTGTGAGTTTTTGTGATCTATAAGTGAAGTGTTGCTCAGGTACCCAATGAACTTTGATCGCTGTGGTTGCAGTGGAACTGATGAGGTTCTGCAGTATGGCGGTGTGAGGTATCAAATACGGGGAATGTTAGCACAGAAGAAATGAATGTCAAAAATAGTTTCTCAACTCAATTTATTTTAGCTATCATAAGATCTGTTTTTCCCTAAGTGTAGTACAAGTATATTTCCAGTCAGAAATTTAAGCTTTTTAAGTTAGCATCTTGCCTTGAAGCATACCATGTGAAGATCTGTGAGTGAGAGAACTATAATTCAGCAATTTCCAAAGCAGTCAGTGAAGAATTGTGTTGTGATTTTTGCCATGGGATCTAAACAAATTATTCTAAATTTCTGTAGAACAAAACTGGAATAATGTAATAATCCAGATTGTCTCAATTACACAAGTGGTTATTATTTGAGTGTCATCTGCACACTAACCTTTGTGAATCTTTGTATTCTCTTTTTCAATGTCTCAAAATGCTCCCTTTAAATCTGTTCAAAATAGTTCTTTTTAAATGCTAGTCAGGTCATTACATAGTGCGAACTACTTGGTTCTGAAAAATTCCATCATATAAGTGAAAGTTTTAAGTGTTGGTTTTACTTATTTTTTGTGATTAAAGGTTGCAGAGAGACAGGTAGGGTGTAAAGTAACTGAATGATAGTAGAAGATAAGCTATACTGAGATGCTTCAGCTTTTTCCTATGTCACATTTCATTGCAGTTTATGTTCTTTGATCTGAGAGAATTACTGTGCAATGATATCAGTTTAAAAACTAGTGTTGTTTTACTTTGCTTTGAAATACCGAATTTGATGCTGTCATTTGTATACGTGGAGCTCTGGAAATCCTCTTCAGTGGAACAGGTTCCCAATGTACTAGAAGAATACCTTATCTTGAATACAAGCTAAGAAACAACAGAATATGGCAGGGAAAACAAATAAACAAGACTATTGCTTTAAATACTGGAATTATATGACTTGATTCAATATTACAGAAGGTAGAAATGC